TATATATATATATATATANNNATATATATATATATATATATATATATATATATATATATATACTTCGACATAAAGGGAAAACAAGGTTGGAACAGTAATCTATAAATCAGCAACTGTTAAGTTTAATAAACGGTAACAAAATTAGAGTCTACGAAATCTCCCAATAGTAATTTTTATTATTCGTCACAACCGTAATAGTGGAGAAAATTCTTAGTCTCACCGGAAATTACAGATATTCAAAATTTTTCCACCATAACATATTTATGGTACAGTCATCCAAGCCGAATCTTTACAGATGATAATCTAATAACAAACAACATGATCCAACGACAAACATTCGATGAGACGAATATTCTGACGAAGAGATACAGGCAATAAGCACCCGTAAACGAACATAAATGATTATATACAAACAGAGTGAAACAATCACAGATGTATCTATTAAAGGCAGCTACCGCAAAGATGTTTAGTGGTCTTAAATGAACCATCTGATACAACTTTAATATCTGAGCAACTGCTATGGCCTGTGAAATCTTTTTTCTTTTTTTTCCAATAATATCAGTAATTACTGTACCCATTATTATACAATGATCTCTCGCATGACTCTCCTGGTACCGTTCGTTGTATAAGATGTCTCGTCGCTATCCTGGTCATCATGTATTATTGTTGAGGGACCATCTATACTATTTCGATGCTCATTTAACTCCTGATCATTTGAGGGAAACCTGAAATGATATGTTTTGACACAAAAAATTATTTCGGAGAAAGTATTTACCATGATTTCAATGGACTGAAGGAATTTAGGTGCATTGTACTTCAAAAACTACCGTGCAAATAGCTAACATAGTTATTTGTATCGAAATCAAGTTAACGAGATAAAGCAGAAGGTAAACTTGAAAAAAAAAAGAAAGAAAAGAAAAAACAGACTTACCCATCTATAAAACCATCATATTTGTTATCTTGTAAAGAAGGGGAAATTTGATACTGTGTGTTGTATTCTTGAAGGTACGGATCATTGTTGTATGCAAATGGTTCTACGTTGGTATTCCACTGGTCGGTAACCGTACCAGTCCTCCTAAAACAGTTTTTCTGAGGTTAATACCATATTAGTCATACTTGAATCCTAAAAAATAAATAATGATGGAATTTACGTGGAAAATCCTTGAGTGCTCTGAGTCGACTGCCCATTTGATTTGTTAGTATTGGGAGTTGAACCGAGAGTGAAAATACCACTATCGGTTTGAGACCCGTGAATTAAAGTATTTTTTGTATTTGACTGCGATAATGGTGCACTAGTATCATTCCTTCTGAAAAAATTCCGTTTTACGAAAGTGTAACAATTTCAAAATCATAAATAGACATATTAAAGTTTTACCTAACCCAAAATGTGTACATAGAAACAATTAACCTAAAACGAAAACCACAAATATTTCAAAGCGCCCTTCATAGCTATAAGTCATACTTTTCGTTATTCACAAAATTCTTCTCTTTCTTATTCTTAGGGTTAAATGTTCGCCGTATCTGACAGCAGATGATGATGAAACAAAGTGTGAACAGCAGGAAAAGTATCACAGCGCCTAGCGATATCATGTACATCCATCCAGATGCCAAAAGAGTTGACGAGACTGAAAAGTTCACACAATTAAACCCATTTGTTACAAGTGGAAATAGAGATCGACGCTCCCCAGGTTTCGTTAGGATCGCTGCTTCAGGTTTACACCAATGTTATCCATCAAAGCCCCAGGAGCTATGTCTCTTCCTATCAAGGACATCATTAGCAGCTAGTAGTTTAGGTTGACCCAGTACGGGTTCGAACGCGAAATACCTGCACCATGTGGCGCCACATAACCAATTCACCACACATACTCTGTTGACATGTAAATTTAAACGGAGTAAGGTAGAAAATCATTTTTAGACAAAGTCAGCCACATTGCGGCGAAAGTTAGTAGTGGAAATTTTCTGCCATCATATGTTCCTATTATTTCAGAACTTGAAAAGGAAGAAGAGTTATGTGTCCCAACCAGATGAACTATTGATGACAGAATGGGCAGGGAAACTGGACAGAATAGCTTGATATCTTATATTGTAAATCTTACTCGAAGTTCATAATGCGTGATATGTAGATATGTGGCACGTCTAACATATAGCAGAGATAAATAAGTACTTTTTATTACTCTCAAGTTTTTTAGTTTTCATAAAACTTTATACCAAAACAAATTTATTGTGAAAAAAAGCTAACCGATAATTTCTGAGGCAGCCGAGCAGTTAGCAAGATTTAGCTTATGGCACAAGCGAGCTTTCAAATAATCGGCAGATGGCACATCATAGATAGGAGTTTGATCAAAACAATCCATGGCACGCCAGTTTGCGCTCAGTTCTTTTCCCTCATTTCCACTTCCAATGTCCTGCCCATTTTTTCCTGATGCAAATAATAGCAAAACACATAAATCGTCATTTAACTGCTTTATCTGAAAAAAAGAAAGATTTGGGAGCTATGTGCAAATTAAACTTATATTTTGAGGAAAAGATGATTAGTTACAACGCACAACAAATGAAGCAAGCAATTTTAGCATGTGAACATAACTCTTAGTCATCAGTATTGTAAATTACCATTTGATAGATAATATTTAGTAAGTTAATCCACATTCCACTATTTCTTTTTTTTTCTCTCTGTTTTCAAAACGATAAGTATGGGTCGGGTGAAATAGAAATCACTGAAAAAGGGAAATTCATGAGAGTAAAATAGATTGTCAATTTTAATTAGTCTTTAGTTTTTAATTTTATGAAAATTTGGAAAATTATTACCTCAAAATCAATTTTCTGCTGAGCGCTATTATAATAGAGAGTCAGTGGTCGAGGTATCGCTGCGCATTCTCGTACATCTGATGTGGTTGCCGTTGTGACCGGAGTCCAGTCACTGTTACCTATTAAATTCCGAGCACGAACTCGAAACCAGTACGTACTCAACGGATTCAAATGACTGATGTTGTAAACCATGTAAGCAATGGAAGAGAAAGCTCGCCTTGACCGATGACCAGTTTCATCTTCCTCAAATAGTTTGTTTGACCCAATATTTCTGCATTTTATGAATGTGTTTGGTGCTCATTGCAACAGTTTTACAAATCCAGAAATCTACGGTAACCCACGCCTCCTCGTCTAGTGGTGAGTGGAATTCTCAGCCCCACAATATACAATAATTTTATTTTACTAAGGATATATGGATCTTATTGTCCGTATAATTTAGTTCTGCCATTTCAGCCTTTAGTAGTTCTCAAACTGACTTAGCTCAATTTTCTCTTTTTAAATATAAACTGCAACAATCCATCCCAAAATTACGATTGTGCTGTGTTACTAAGATTAAATACAATAAATCAAGTTATTTTTCATTTTAAACCTTCCAAAATATAAAGTATTTTTACTTCATATAAAGTAAGGTAGGATGCGTTACGACCATCAATGTAAATCGCTACGGGTTCCGTTGAATCGGGAATCCCTTTTGCTGGATTCACTTTACGATATTCGAGCTGGAAGTTTTGTTCTTCGCCGCCATCAAAACTTGGCCGCCAACCAACAAACAATGAAGTTGGCAATGAAGATATCAACTGAAGTTCACGTGGAGCCTGCGGTTTGCCTGTAACACCATTATGTTGCACTATTCTCGATGCAAATTAGTAATTAGTAACTCCTTGACTTCTGTCAGCTTCACTTCTAATGACAGATCTTTTGCTGTGTACTGCTATCTAGTACCTGATGATGGACACTAAAGGAAAAGCATATTGGATTACGTAACACTCTTCAAACAGTAATCGACACGACACATGAAAGTTTATGATAACTTTACCCACAAGCTTCAACTTTTTGAGATATGAATCCTATTCGCAACACGTAATTATTCAGTTATGTTGAAAGTTTCATTCAATTGAGTTTACTTTTAGTCTGTAATTTGAAGACTAGTTCCTCCTCCTGACCGTTACCATTGCTAGTTCGACAAATGTATGGTCCATGATCGTAGATCATCGAATCAGCGATTTCTAGAATGGATTGAAACTCATCTATTTTATCATTTAGACGAATGTTACGCACGACATAGCGGGATTGCCCATCGCGTACTTCACTTCCATTTCGGAACCACACAAATTCCGGTTCAGGACGCGCTGATACATGGCACACTATCCTTGCCTAAATAAATTTTTCAAGTGCAAGTATTTTTCGGTTCCTCCTCAGAGGCGCTATAAATATCTCAATATAAATATTTTCATTACAATGAACTTAGAAATCGGATCTCTATGCCTCATACTGATCAGTAGTTATTCAGTTATTTTTAGTTCAGAACAAATTATCAGCTACCTTTAAAACGAATATGTCCATAATGTACCTGCTAACACATTAAAACCAAAATTTTCAAATTTCAGTCCCCTATAAATATGATCCGTGCCTAGTTTGTAGACTTACAGTAGATCCAACATCAGCAGCAGCCAAAGCATCGCTTGGATATCGTTCGTTAAGTATTACAGGTCCATGTATTACGCTAAGTGCCATCGAACTGGTTACGAATTTTTGTAAACCACTGGTGAATTTGCACGAGTAATTGCCCTTATCATTCCATCCCAGCGGTTGTAGGAAATTCAAAAACGCAATCATCGTGATGGAGCAAAAATCACTTTTTGGACAGCTGAAATAAATGGATGATGCCTACCAGTTTAGATTTACTATATTAAATTAATTTCTTCAAATTTTTTGAAATGAATTGCAGGTCACAAATTAATATGATCTGCTGACTCGTTTGGATGTTGCTCCGAACTGATCGACCAATGAGTACTGCCATCTTGTTTGTTAATTACTTGTCCATCTTTAAGCCACTGGAACTGTGGAGCCGGATAGCCCTGTGCTTCACATCTCAAAGTGACGGATGTTTCACCAGCGTTGAAAATGAGGCTTTCCGGTAGTGGGCGAGTTATTTTGGACGGTTCAATCACCTAAATCATTTCATATTTCTGATCTGAATTTTAAGAAAGAGCACTATTAGCTGTGTCCACTACCGTCCGAATAATGCATTAAGCAATGTATTTTTGCTTAATGTATTTTTGCAATGCATTAAGCAAGCAATGTATTTTTTAAATGCTGCAGGGTTTTTTTTGGTATCTAAGAGGAACTACAACCAAAAAATATCTATTTACATGTCAATCGAATCAGTGATTATGAAAATATAAATCTATAAAAAGTTGCTTATTTCACAAGAATTTGGTCAACATACTCTAAACTTCAACTTGGGTATATCCAAACTAGAAATATTTGGTAAGTTAAAAACTTTTGCGTCAATTTTCGTTTCTGTTTTTCATTTAGTTTATTCCATTTTTCTAAAAAATCTATAGACCTACAAGATTTCAAAGCACTGAAATCTCGTCATATTGAATCCCACCAACCTGTATCGTCAAAACCCCTTCCACTCCATTACCGATTCTGTTAAAGGGCATACATCGATAATCACCATTATCACTTAACATAGCACGTTCAAGGATGTAAATGGGGCTTTTTTGTTCTCCGTAACTGCCAGAAGAGGATGGCGTCAACCAACGATATTCTGCTTCCGGACTGCCTACGTCAACGGCTGTACACCTCAGTGTTGTTCCACCCCCAACTGCAATCATGGTACTGGAAGCCGTTATTAGTGCTTCTCCTGGCCGGCGTAATACCTGTAACTTTCAAGAACCTGGCATCACATAGGCTAAGAAATATAAGATTAAAATTATGGCTTTTAAACCCAATATATTTAGAAGTCTGGACCTTAAATTTTAAATTTCGAGGAACTGATCATCCAAGGAAAACAATGGAACAGCTAGAACTCATCAAAATTGAAAATTAAATTCGGAAGAAAAATCAAAAGTGAAATTCATTCAATTTTCACAAATTCGTATTTTGAGCTTTTCTTTTTACTCTGTTAACACTTTTTTTCAATAGCCAAATGGAAAAAAATTTTACATCAATAACAGTGAATGCTTGACCGGTCCGTGTTACCGATCTCGATTTCGAACTGTGAACCGTTAACGCATTGATTGCTGTGCAGGTGTAGTTGCCAGAATGTGTTCTAAACATGACAATGATATAAATTTTGCTCAAAATTGAATAACTTTACTATAACTAATCATTCAACCATATTTTTCCCAAACATTCTCACTTTAAGTGAGGAACAGAAAGTAAACCTTTGTATAGAATCAATTTTGAAGATTGATCCTTCAGAAGTAATGCCATTTGGTCCAGACCAAACAATTGAATTGGCTGGTGGATTAGCATCAACTACGCACTCTAATGTTACTGCGTCACCTTCTGCCGGATTTATCCGTTCCTTAAAAAAGAAAAAAACAACAATTTAGAACAACAAACAACAATTAACAATTTAATAAATAAACAAATCAGGAACTATCGAAAGCTTGATCAACGGTGCATTAACAAAATGGTTTTACATTTTGTACTGCAGGAACTCTTGAATAGCGACGTGTAGTCGCGAACGGCTGCAACCAATGTGCAGAACTTGCAGTACCAGATAATTCGCTGCACATTCCTCGTGATTTGTGAGCGCAGAAACATTTATAACCACTCACTTTAACTTTGACGATTGGTCCATACTGAACATTCAGCGTTAACTTATCGGCACCACTTTCCATAGAATTTGTTGCCATGCACCGGAAATCACCACTATGCTTTCGTTCAGCTAAGAATTGCCAGTTTATTCCGGCAAAACGTTCACCTAAAGTTAAAATGAAGATTTTTGACGGTTCAGTACGCCAAATAATCCCAATAATATTAAAAGCCTAATTTTGGCACCATTTCATGTGATCGATGGCAGAAATCAGTGCTGTATGTGAATGATTGTTATAATCAGTGGTGAACAAAAACGAAAAAAAAAAACACCAATTCAATTTACCACTAGTGATGTGATGCCATTCGAATTGTGACGGAGCAGGATTACCATTTGCTGAACATGTGAGCTCTACACGTTCTCCTTCTTCCACGTTGTAGTCATGCACTGGACCAGCGTGAACTTTTGGTCCGTATAATACCTTAACAGCAGCAGTGATAATCAAATGCTCGCATTCATTTTAATGAGCTGGACAGTAAGCATGACTATTTTGTTCAAAAAACTTTTTTTTTTGAGTGGAATACGAAACTGCTTTTTTTTTCTAGAAAATCTTTCAAATTAAAAAAAAGAATCAATGGAGTTAAAATGGAATCAGTTCTTTACTGAAAATTACAATCATTTATTCTAAAGTTGCACCATCTGTAACTAAGTCTGTTTGCTGATTGGGGTTATCATTTTAATTAACTTTAAAATTAATTTAAATGAACATTTGAATTAATTTCCAACTAAATTAATTAGTCCCACTGATAGCTTAACCCTCTTAACTTTATTGCGAAATTCTTTGTGTTTTCGTTAAAGTTCAGAAAAGCATATAGTTATTCAGTAAAACTGAAATTTTGAAAATTGATCCCCCTTCATTTCTTATATTTATATTTGTTGCTTCATATTAATCATGCATCGGACACTCATTGATTAACGGTCACTTCGGGCGATGATATCATTTCAGGGTCGTTTGATTGCACAAATGAAAAGTAAATGGGAGCAGTGTGTTACATAATATATGTTATTGACCTTAAGGATATGTCGACATTGCAACCCTGATAGTTCGATCAGATTATTACGATCGAATGCGTCATTTGCACAGAGGTTTTACCCACCAAGAAATTTTCGAGAAGTAGTTTAGAACTGGAATATAAGGATCCCAACGCAGCACTTAAGAGTTTATGAGATATAGATATTATCACTACTGCTGCTCCTACTAACAATCTTTTTTAACAAAATGGATACAAACAATGGGATCAAATATCGCAACATCTACCTTACTACAGTCATTCTCAAAATTCAACTAATTTATTCAGCCGGCCTGTAAAATTGATAAGCTTATGCGGTAGAGGTCTCGGAAACAAACAGCTCTGAATCTGGATATTACTTAAATAATTCAGTAAAGGTATGGCCATATTACATTACAGTAAATGCATTGCACTGAAAGTCAAAGTAATTGTAAAATGCTGCTTAATATTGGGTATAAGCTAAACTAATACTTCTAGAGAAGTATCCTTTAAATGGATGAAGTGAATTTGTTTCTTTTTAGAGATATTCATAATTTCTCAAATTAGAAAAAAGTAACTTGCATTTAAGCGAGTTGTGCTAGCGTCTTTATGTTCACCCTTCGGCAGTGCTTCATTCCAAATCTGACAGTTCAAATAAGCTTCATTGTCCTCTGCATTTACTCGCCACCTACAATTAAATTTTTGTCCATCAAATCTGATACGAAGATATGAAGATCGCCAATAATAAGGAAATATTCATTTCTATTAGAAAATTCTTGAATAATTATGGAAAGTGCAACTTACTGAAGAATGGATACGGATGGTCGATCGGGTGAACTAGACGATTTTACGTGATACCATTCTTCTGGTACCACAGAGCGATTACTGAAAACCCACACAAATGAAGGCGGTGGATTACCACCCGTCGTTTGGCATTCAATCGTTACCAGTTCACCTTCCTCGATTGTTCCGGATGGCTGCCGAGTGATTACTGGTTTCTCCGGCTCCACTAAAATGATTTCAATATAAATTTCTTCAATGAAAAAGCATCTTTTAGATACTAACCTAGGCTCTGTACTCGTTAACTGATTGATATATAAACTCACAACTGATAAATTTATTCAGTAACTCATTCATGGATAAAATTTAACTACTAATTAGATGACATCTGGAACTTATTTCTGCTTGACAAGCAAGTACAACTAATATTGTTACTATCATACGTTAAAGGTCACTCGACATCTTTGTTAGAAAAAAGGAAGTTTGATCTGATGAAAGGTATCGATCTGCACTAGCTGTAAAAAGGTTCTTTTCAAAAAAGCATGAAGATTTGGTGCTACCTGTGTTAGCGAAAGCTTAACAATAGACACCTATCTTACCTGGGTCACAATATATGCTTGTTCTTGTTCCCTACAGTAGTTATAACCTTAAAATGTCCAACTATTTTTATAAGGCATCCTGTCCTTTAAAATAAAAACTGTGGGAGCTGAAAAGACGCATCCGGAATCACAAATATTCCAAAAAAGACAATGCATGCCGCGTAAATAACTCCTGGAAAAATGATGAGATGCTGATGTGCGGTAATTGATAGTTGACATTTTAAAATACCCAAGAAAACAGTCATTTTTTTTTTACAAAGTGTATTTGGCATTTCTCCTTTTTCCCTTGAACTAATAAAATATTTTCTTCAACTTGTTTCTCATGGCCGAAGAACATGGAAAATTAGTTCTTAATCCGTCTTTCAAAATCTCTCTTAAATCGGACAAGTTAAAGAAACCGGTCTTTCCACTTTCACTTTTTCAAAATTCATCTTTTAATAATGCTAAATCTATGATTGACGTAAGGCATATTTTATTGTAATACCACCTTTCCTACATTTCATTTTAGGACAATCCGTGAAAGACTCCTTTTATCCTTTTCTTCCTAACAGCTGAAGACGATTATTTATGGAAAATGAGCCTCTTTTCAACATTCCCCTGTCTGCTTTCCTATACATTTATTGGCATTATGAGCACACCTGTTTTTGCATAAAATGGAACGCACTCAAATGATCGTATTGAAAAGATATATGACACAGATATAGAAAGGTGACAACCTTTAAGAACTTCTTTGACATCTTCAAAAAGAAACAAGGATAAAGAGAAGGATCACAATGAAAAGCATCGAATGTAAACAATTTCAACTCTATAAATTCCTCACTTCATTATTTAAATTTTTGCCGTGCTTCATAAATTTCCAGTTATTTATACAACATGCTTTATCTATGTAAGCAAAGTAGCCATAAATGTTGTGGTTATAGTGATGGTACTAATTGAGAAATAATCCCTACCTCTCCTCAACGATAATAATCTTCCCTATCTAGCATAAAGTAACTTTATCTCCATTTGCGTCACAACAAAAACTTTTAGAAAACTGTTCCATATGAGTTAGTCCGACATCTTTTTATTGAATGGAACAAACTTAGGAAACATCAAATATATTTCTTCTCACACTAATCCTAACAGACTGACCAAACATAAATTTCACGAAATCTTTTCAATAAAATGAGATGGTTTGTTGGTCCCCGTTGAAATGAAATAAGCAAAATATAAAGACAGCTTTTCCCCAATGGGGTGGCTTTATGTTGACAAAATGGATATACAGTGGGTAATTCAGATGTCCGAGGTGCTACGAGCCGCGCCATTAGCAAACAAATATTGCGGTTCGACATTCGTCTTTGAATGGTTGTAAACCAGTGACCTCCACTGATTACATGCTTATTTGTGACTTCTGAAGTCTCACTACGGCTAAATTTCACCTTTTAACTTTAACACTTCGAAAATTATAGCATCTTGGAGTCAGCAGTGCGTTCCAACTTAAAATTTCAATTTGCAAACACTTATAAATGTTTGCAAAACTTAGGGATTTTGCATAAATATTCAACCAAGCTAGTAAATAAAAATGACGACGAGAGGAAATGATATTAGGACATGATATTACTTCGCGCAGTTACAACTAACCAGCAACTTATTATTTAACGATCGTTTTTTTCGAATCCTTTCCCATCGAAAGAAATATTATATGCATAATTAAATAAGCAACATTTGCTAACATTTGAAAGGAATGCATGTTTACCTTAAAAAATCTCATAAATTTCTGATATTTCATAGAAATCTGTCCAGAAAAAAGCTAAAATTCTATCAACTATAACTGTTTACGTCAGCGATATTGAGTTTCTCATTTTGTACCGTAACAAAGTTTCGTTATTCAAAAGGCCTTTGACACGTCACAGATAGAACAGCCCCATCAAGCACCTCTTCAAAGGATGTTAGCTTTATCGCCAAGATGTTACCTTCTTTATCCTCAATGCTACAATTCCACAAATTCAGATAACTTACGCTACCAGCATCAATCATATAAAGAGAGCAAATAATGATGAATCTAGATAATACACTATCAAACATTTCGACTCATTTAAATGTATCCATTTGAACTTTTATTCTGTCAGTAAATTCCATCTTACTATCATATTATTATATTAGTTATTGCATTAAATTTTAGCGGCACACTTCGAAATATTTTGTGACCTAATTTTTAATAAAAAAAAGAACAGTGAACAAAAAAGTGAATGATGATAATCAAGATTGTTTATCTGATGCAATTTTCCTCTATAAACGAGATTTTTATCTTTTTCATGCTGCATGGAAATGTCACAAAAAAGCCTAATCTCTTTTATTATATGATTTATGGCTTAGTTCTGCTTTGGAATTAAATATCCTTTATTTCACTTTCTAATTCATTTTTCTGCAAAAATTAATGGGCAAAAAAAAATTTTCGTGATTTGAAATATATATTTGAGACTTTTAAAATTAAAAAAAAAGAAAGTTTCGGAAAATGTATTTTATTCTGGGCATTTCTTTGTGTATGATAATTCTAACGTGCACTTCCGTTAATAACACACAAACTTAATTTTAATGGAACTTATTCATTCATAAGATGAATCATATTTTCCTGCCAGTAAAAATCTTTTGACGGTTAATTCATTTTACTTTGCATGTTATGCGAGTTCTAAGAACTGAATACAATAAAGGAACCATGCATCAGTCAACTGTCCCAGGAATATGGCAATTGGTGACGAGAAGAGTTACAGACAATTCGAAGAATGGACGATGAGGCAGAGAGAAGGAGTAGTTCATACCTCAAAATTTAATTCGCACTCAATTTGTTTCGCTTCACTGAATGTACCTGTCATTTATTCATAATACACAAAAAGCACTTGCTGCTACAATATATTACTCACCTATAATAATGCACGTAACATGCACGAATGCGTACTTGCTTGCTTGTCTCCTATGCGCTTATGAATGTATGGCCTGGTAACAAGTTTTAGTTTAAAGATCGGTGCAGCCTTGTAACGCTTCTGATAAATCTTAAATTATTACCAAGACTACTGTTTGACATCTCATTGATATTTTCTTTTGAAGCGCTTTACCTACACAAAACACATTGAACTTTGGTGCTAAATTTAGTATTAAGTAAAAATTTCAGAGTATTTCAGAGTAACATGAATCAGTTGGAAACTTCGATCCGATTAACATTCAATACTTATGGCTTGTAAAAGTTGAAGAAAATTTCAAGTAATGGGAAAGTCTTAATTTTTGCACTAGTATCATGTTTCAGCTTCAATTATCATAATTAGAAGATTGGAAAAAAATTCAATTATCATGGACAAAAACGAACCAACGACGACGACATTTGCTTGTACGGTATACTGTGCTCCAGATTCTTTGTCCAGAACAGTGCAGAAAAATTTCCCATTATCTCGACGAAAAACAACATGCCGAATTTGTAAATTATATGCACCACTTGTTTGTAACAGTTCGTAATGTTGCTTCGAAAATGACACTCCATTACGTGTTAAATGCCTAAATTATCCAAAGTCTTCCCATAATTTTTTACTTCGATTAATTTTTTAAACAACTTGTTAAAAAGTAGAAATTTGGATTTAAATAACATTACAACGAATATTACCAGGCAGCTTAATTATTATCACTTTAATAAAATGAGCACAGAGACATTTCATTATGAAATTTAATCTTTTTTAGCTAAATCTTTCAAAGGTATGCAAATTTTTAAAACGAAAAAACACGGCCGCATGAGGTTTTTGAATTCGTTATTAATCTTTTTCCTATTTTTAATTTTTCTGAAGCTACAGATGCAAAATGCTCCCGTACTAAGTATACTTTAATAAATCCTGAAATAGACTTCCTTAATTTCTCGAAGTAATTTCAAAATCGGTTTCTCAATCATATGAACTATCAGAAATCTACGCACAAATTATGTATTGCAAGTAAGAAAAGGTATGGCTTATTTATAGCAAAGAAAAAAATTGTTCAAACAAAAAACCATTTCCTCGCTAATTAATCCGACGCAATGAAATAATCGCAATGCCTTTACGAAGCAATTGCTCAGTTCTCTTACCCGCTGTGATTTTTCGTATTTTTTGTCATTACACCACTACCTTATTAAATTTCAGAACAGAAATTCACTTCATTTAATCCCTATATATCATAATTTCACTTCCGATGTTTTTCCTGCTAGCTCCTGCATCAATCAGATATGCTATACAGGAAATATTCTTCCATCATCCTGCATCGTGTGCTTAAATTTGAAACGAAATCCTCAAGCAGTTGACAGATTATTTAGATTATCCCAACGATTGAGCAGTCTCTCTACTTTACAAGTAAAAATCTACCGAAGATGTGATTTGAAAAATATAAAAATTTTTGCAAATGTTGGAGGAAGGAATACAAAAGTTTCAAAATATTTCATTTACATAAGTTTACAGGCAAACCTGGGTAAATCACCAGCTACAACTGTCCAACTTGGCTCATATCGAGTACGATTACGGAATTCAGGAGCAAAGCTGCATTCCATTACTGGGCCTTCTTGTCCTTCCGTAACATAGTACGGTTCTGCATTCGGCCTTGTCAGAAACACAGCATCTTCTGAAGAAAAATTTTTTAAATTTACAGATGATAAATGATTAACTAAAACATGCAGATTTGTCACTTTTTGCAAATGATTATCTAATTTTTCTTTTTAATAATAATGAAAAAAGATAAATGTATTAAGCGGTTAGTATTGTCTCATTCAAATCCCTCTTTCATCATGCATATTACACCTATTTAATGCAAATAGAAATAAAAATGCTCATGTCATATCTTTGACGACGCAATAACGAAAGCGTTTGGATGTGCAATAGGTTTATTGATGATTAGTGATCTTATGGAAATTATAACTTCGGTAAATAGTGGGTAATGGGTAAAGAAACAGTTGGAGGTCACTTGTTGAACGAAGTAACAATACTGTGATAATAGCACGTTATGATTTGTCATTGAACATAACCTTTTATGACAATGTTTACATACTGTCAGAAGTTATCCGCAATATGTTCTATAAAAAAGATTTTATAACCTAAATCATAAGACACTTACTCAAAACTTGTTTTTTGACAAATAATGCTATTTTATTGAACAAATATGAATGATATTTTTTGAAACAACATCTGAAATTTTGATCAAAGAAATGCTAATTCAGATTTATAATGACTGTCGAAAAATATCGCAATGTACTGGATACCGATGACTGGGTTAAATAGTTGGTATATGAATTAAAAACAAAAAGTTAAAAATGAAACGCAAGGAAAAGTATAAGGCAGCAATCTAGCCACCTGATATAAATCATATTTGCCCAAACAATCAAGAACAAGATCTCCGAATGTTTTTTATTTTCTTCGTTTTTTTTTTTTTTTTGAACTGATTCTACTACTAAATTGACAAAGAGAAAGTTACCTACTCATATCATAATCGCCTAACCATAATAGGATCAGGATTTTTTAGTAAAAAAAAAGAACGAAAAAAATTAGAACAATATCGTTATGAAAAGTTCCAGCTTTATTTTGTAAATCATGCACTAGAAAAGACCCGTACATAGCCTCAAGCAATCTTAATCTGCATTTAATTATAAGTTCGTCGTAGATATTAAAATGCACACATAAGTCGGTTTTGAGACAGGTGCATAGCAAATACAATATTAGAAGCTTATAATTGCTTTAATATACATCCATTAAATGCACTGAGCGATATTAAGGCAGTAATTAGAGAAGGAGATATTTGAATAGCCAAAGCGCCTCATTAAAATCCTTTCCATGCTGCTAGCTCATAGTGATCCAAATACTTGGTGAGTTAGAAAGAAATATTCAATCTTGATTAATTTAGAAAAATTACAAGCATTTCGACTGTATATGCAGAATACATTAAAATCAACATAGCACATAATATATTCGTATCAGCTAAACCTTATTCAAAAATATGAAATCTGCAAATCTGAAAATTCCACAGTTTCTAGTGGTTTCTTTTACACTGAATGTTCGTTTCATATGGATGCAAAAAAATTGCAGCATTGACATATGACATGAGTGATAAAAAAATGGATCAAATTTCAAAAATTTTTGTAACCCAAGGACAGATTTTGGATATAAAAAAAGACATAATTAAGCTGCGATAGCAATAATATACTCAAAAATGATTATTAGAGAATTATTGAGTCAACAGGACAATGGACATATGGATTTATAACTGCTACTTCTGATTTCGATCTGCAGTTTTTTCTTTTTTTGTTTAATTTGGGTTCTAAAATGAAGATAAATAAACCGTACCACCAATAAGCAGGAAAAACGAAACCCTGGATAATATTAGTTGTTTGCTTGTGATCACCGTCTAATCCTTTGAAATTGAGTCAAACGCAGACAACGTTGGATTTGATGAGTTAGAATATGACAAAAACTTATGTCATGTAAACAGTAAAGTGTATTTATATAAAAACATATTATTTCATGAAAAAGGAAAAAAAATTTGCTAACTCAGAAATATTGTTCCAAAATGTAAGGCTGTTGAACGCAGTGATCAGTAACAGAGTTCTTAATATTAAATTCAAGAAATCTTATTTACGACTATCTCGAAAGTTGCTTCGAAGAGAAATCTTGAAAATTTCAAACAGATAGAATGATATTAAACCAAAAATGCGAAGCGAAAGATAAAGTTTTTGATAAAAAGTGTAGTAACAATTTAAAAAAAGTAAATTTAGGAAAATATTAAAGAGCAAACAAGACTGAATGCAATTTTTTCTAGCTCTTTATGCGGGAAAAAAAATGGGATTTGCATTTGAATGCATGCAGTTTTCAAAGCATGTTGCTATTGCGAGATGATACGGCTTGTGAGGTTGATATGACAAACAAATTTGCAAAAAACTATTTTGTAGTAACAAATTTTTTTGTCTGTACTTAACCTTAAAATGCCATCTACTCATCTAAATAATAGGAACTGTAACGGAATTAAGAATTCAGGAATTTTTTCATGTTTGTCAATCATCGAATTCAAGAATAGATTCAAAGCATTGGACAGAATTACATATGGTATCACACCACAAGTTATGATGCCGAGATGGATTAATAGAAGCTAAATAATAAGAAATTTAAATAGGAAATGTAACGGAATTAAGAATTCAGGAATTTTCTTCACGTTTTCCATTTAAATCATTGAATTGCTAATTAAACTGGAATAACATAGAAATTTTGAACAAACAAAACAAAATGAAACAAAAAACGAAAACCTCTCGTGCAGCTAGCAATATGCGTCCAGAATAAAATGAAAACCATATAAGGTCTTTCCCGCGGTATCATTGTGGGATCGAATAGATTTCAAAGATAATCAGATAGACTTTTGGAGCAACAAAGTTTTCTGGGAAAGTCTCCTGAAAATAATCAAATGAAAAAATGTGAAAATTTTGGTCGGGCTGTGTTCTGTGGTAGCGACGACGGCGGCGTGTATTTGCTTTAACCTAACAATGATTTATGTCTTTATAGGTTTTCCCACTGCAGTAAATGCTGTTTGAGCTAACAATACAATTGTCTACTAAATATTTTAAGTTTTGAAATATATCTCCTTAATCTTATAAGGTTAGTGCACTGATTACTTACACAAATCCACCTAATATTTGAACTAGAAAATAATTAAAATTCAAATTAAAACTGTAGGAAATTTCCAGCGATACTAATTTGTTTTCTGAAATTGCGAAAGAGTAAGAATTGAATTCGCTGTATCAGATTGATCAGCTTTTGAAGCTGAGGAAGAAATGAATTAAAGCATTAATGCTCGTAATTCGATATGTTAAAACTTCAAAGAAATTTCAATTTGTCACAAATTTAACGCTTCTAAAAATTTTAAATCGCTGTTACATAATATTTGAAATCTACATAGGTATGATATGATATATGCATGGCTACATGATATTTCACTTTTATTACATGCATATATGTTTATGGAAGTATTGTATAGGTAAAGCTTTGTCTCGCTTTTAGGAAAAATACAAGAATTGAGGAGAAACTTCGAAGCAAAGCGTGAAATTTTTCCCTTTTTTATCTACCTATAAACAGAGCTGGCACGTCAATCGAACTTAATGGACCTGTAAAACTGGGCATTTGCCGAACTTCCCGTTTCCTGCAATCCACTTTTAGCTTGGCTGAAGAAATATCTAAATTTGATATGGCCGCAAATGCAGGAAATTGCAGCAGTTCATTGATGCATATGCAAGTGAACAGTGGTGGTACATGATACGTTCGGATTCTCGCCAATTTTTTCAATGTCAAGAAAACAAACATTTCAAGATTAAGACTTTGTGTCTTGTCAAGTTTAAATCCACTAACTTTAGTCTTTCATTCAACTCTATTTAAAGTTGTTTTAATTTTTGAATATCAATTTTTTAAAGTCTTTCGCAAATCAATTATTTTTCCAAATACCAATGAATTTTGAAAATTCGAACAAATCTCATCCTTCATAGTTTTCCCTGGGGCGAATCGTGGAAAATATTTTCTTTTTTTTAATATGTTAAAACTTACTGTCAGCTGTGAAAGAATCCAACAACTGTAGCATCAAGAAGCAGACGGAATATTAATTTTGAACCAAAATGAAGGTATGATTTTTTGTGATGACGCTAATAAATTGCACATAAACTGAGAATGAAAAAACTGGCAGGAGAAAGACAGAAAACGGAGAAATGAGTTGGAATAGAGGGAGAGTTGGTGATAGTTAATCAAACGTACAACTGTTACAAATTGATATATACGCAACCGATTTATGGCCTCTCTTTAAATAACTAAAATGTAGTACTGGAGGTAGCAATGGTACCAGTGGTACTGGTAAGCGATGATCCGAGAGACAAAGTGTTGCTGGGACAAAACAGTTGTTGGGACATAGCGTGCCGGTCATGCTGTATCTATGCGATGCTCCTCTTCTTTCAACTATTTCAAAATACATCCTCGCATTAATTTATCACCTTTAATGAGTGCACACACATTGATTCTATAGAACCATCATTATCGTAATTCCTAATGTCATCCCAGCAGCCGTCCTAAAAATTTCCCATTATTTAACATCAAATATCAAAATAGGCAGCAATTTTTGTCTATAATTAAAAAATGAATTTTCCGTCTTACCGCTTTCACACTTTGCACAGCAAAAAAAGGTAATTGTTTTGGTAGTGCATAAGAAAAGTGAAATTTAAAAAAAAAATCTTTTTGTGAACTGAAAATTGCGATGCAAAAAATAAAGGCATTTCATTTCTTCCAGGAGACTAAAAACCACTGATGATTTCGACTCTCGCAGGTTTGATAAGAACTGATAAGAACTAAAGTAACATGGAGTGCTTCAGGGATAATGATTTAAGGTTTAACTCAATAAAAAAAGACGGTCTTTATTCTCGTTGATAATAGTCGGAAAGTTACCTTGCTTAGCTGTTTTTAGGAACTTCCGAGAATTGAAAGCATGATGAATAGACAAATTGTGCTTAATAAAATGCGAAATTAGCGGATTTTGTAATTTAAGTAGAACAAATGTTACTACTAATTAACCACGAGATATGGAGCGATTCCCACGTCATGTATATCTTTCGATATATCATTCACTGGCAGCTGACACAATCATCTTACATTGTGGATAACTACCACATTACAAACAGATACTACATCAGCTTTGAATATCAATTATTATCACCTGCTACTTCATATGAAACAACTTGTTAAATTTTCAAATATTCAAATAACTTAATTGATTCTCATTAATCAATCAAATTTTGGTATGGTCATTATAGATGGCGAATATAAGTAAGATTTTTTAGATTATATCCATTCGCGATAACTGGGAAGGAGTTATTTCGTAGAAAAACAAAAAATGTTTCATTTTATCGTAAATCAGATAGTTATAGATAAGGATGGATACGTACAGCAGGATGTATTTCTTTCATTAATTTCCTCGGCGACTTCCACTACGATGTTGATTGATGTACATTATGTAATTCCAGGAGTCAAGTATCTTTCATTCCACTAACATATCAGCAATACCACAATAAAATGTGTTTTAGCTTATCGTTAGAAGCAATCTTTCATCCGAACGCAAAGGGTTACAATTATAAAATTAGAAGGAAAAATTACGTGAATCATCAGGATAAAAGAAATTTATAAAAATCCAATGGTACTTTGTGGAATTTTTTTCTTTTTTGAGGGGCAGGAAGAATGAAGTAGGTCAAAATAATGTCTTTTTAGCCAGGGAAGTTCCAGATATTCTAGAGAGATGTTATCTCAAACCTACTTGATAAGTGGCGAAAATATTGACAAAAAAAAGGTAGGATATTGTCAAGCAAAGAGGATGACCTGTCATTATCAGCTGCTATAGTGGGCAGCAATAATACATTGAATAATGTGAGAGGACAAGCGCAAAAGTGGGAGGGAGCGGTTGTAGATGGGGAATTAGGGGAAAGGAAAGACACGAGGCCTCACCAGGGAGTACAATAACAACCTGCTCCATTCCTATGTGATACCAACCTCCTGTGGCGTTTCCACAAAAGCTCAAATTAAGAATTATGGACTCCAGGTGAAAAAATCGCCAATTTATAATGATGCGATGCGAACACTGGAAAAATATCTGGCTTTAAAGGACGAGGGATTGAAAGGGAATAGAGAAGGATAAATGCCGCCTTGATCCATGGAACATTCTGAAATCATCGTGAGTCACCCGAATTTCGTCGAAATATTTCACTACTATATCGGTAATGCAAGAAGAGTCCAATGCATACTTTCTTCAACTGCAAATATAACGATTACTAGAGAAAATAAGTTTTAATTGCACCAGTAGCTAACTCAGAAGCATTATTTTTTAAATATTGTTACCTAATTTTGGCGAAATAGAATTAACTTATTCGACATTCTACTATCTGACTATTCGTCGATTCCGGTTACACTATATTTGGCTAATTGGTTTAAATGCACTCGTTGTGGTGTGATTGCGAGTTTGTAAACATTACCATAATGTCAACGATTTGGCTGTGTCCTATCCAAACCAGATATTCGCAAACATTCAAAGAATATCAAATATCGGACAACCGAACACAAATCAATATATACTTCTATCTATCTAACAGATAATTTCGTTAGAATGGTAGTGACCACAACGGAAGTTTGTTGAAAGTACCAATTCACTTTAAAATTTCAGATTTGCCAAAACCTTTAGAAGATAGAATTTATTAAATTTATTTTAAAGACATGGTGTAATAAAGTACGATGAAAGAATACCCTCCCATGCAAGTTTATTTAATTCGAAAAACTTAAATTTGATTTTATAACATTAAATCTAAATTTAAGCAACCCATTTCATTTGAATTATGAGGGAAAATAGGGTAAGAAGGATTCTGTTTAAGTGAGATCTTTTAGCTATTATGCTTCACCTATCGTTGTATTGCACAAAAAAAAAGAAAAAAAACACCTTACTGTTGTCTTACAACCTAAATTTCGACGTGATGGAAGAAATAAGCCATAGAAACACCTCAGATTCTCATATATGATTCTTTTTTAAGACACTTAGATCATTAGGTCCCATTAACTAACGAAGAATGCTTTGTAGGTTGGGTAGTGGAAACGTTTCTCATCAAGAATATATGATAAGAGGTAAACTTTAATCATTTCTACACAAAAAAAAAGTGAAAAGAAAGATAACCCGAATATAGTGAGAATGAAAACATTAAGGTTGACAATGACACTCATTAGACTAATTATTTGATCATTATTGCTGCTGTTTCATAAATACGTAAATTTGTTAGAACCGAATTTGAAAACAATCAAAAATATTAAAGGGAAAATAAAAAAAAAAGACGGTGTCGTGCAGTTACGCTCATCAAGACTATTTTCATGATAAATTTAAAATTTTGGAAAAGAAATGAAAGTTCGCACTTAAAATGAGCTTACATTTTTATTTTATACGTAGCAGGCAGTATGATATGCTAATTAATCTTCCGAAACTATAGATCTGATAAAAATTTTGGAAATCACTAGTCGAGATAACTGAACATAGGAGTGAAAAAGGTGGGAAGATATGAAAACATATTAACAAAAACTTTTCAGTAAGAAAAACTAACAAAAACCGGAAACAGGTTCTTATCAAAAAGGTTTTAAATAATACATAAAAAACCGCATTCAATAGATACCAGCTGTTTACAAAGATTACTATTGATTTAAGTGACCACTGTTGTTATTGCAATTGCATTTAATCAGTTTAAACTATCTTAGCGACAACTACAACTACTATTACAACTCTTACAACAGTTACAACAGCTGCAGCAATAACATCAACAATAATAACAATTATATTTATTACTTTTCCTACTTTTTACTTTCGCCATATTATTTCAAATGGAAACAGTTAACCTATCCTGCGAATTAGTTGAAAAGGAAATGGTTTGGTTAGGTTCTTGGATCTCTTTCAAAAAAACACGTTTTTGGCTATGTCCAGTGTTCACTCAAGACCTCATCTAGGGATTCATTGTGGTGAATGACGAAATAATTATGGCGACACCGAAAAAAGCTGTCACGAAATCGATGAAAAAATTGTGGAAAAACTTTTACCGAAATTATTGAATAATTCTGCGAATATTTTCACATGATAGATACTTTCAAATGATCAGTTCATTACGATTTGAATAAGTCTCACCAAAAAAGGAAAAAATGGCGAAGAAAGTCGAGAATCGAGAGATGCTTAAAACAGGAATAAAGTGAAGATTCCAATGATGCCTTTTATTTAAAAAGTACTCGTAACTGAAAATGGAAAGCTACTGGTATTGCTGCTGGAATAGAAAGGAATAGTACGGAAAGAAAAATATCATCGACCTTGAAACTGCTGCTTCTGCAATAAGAGGGGTAAGAGAGGACGTTAGTTTCTATACTACCAGCACGATATCATGAATAATTTCAAATCTTCCTTAAACCCTTCTCCAAAAATAAAAAATTAACCCAGTAATTGCGAAAATACTGAAGAATCAAATAATTAACAGTAGGTTCAATGATGTAACTGTTTGGTGTGCTTTTTTGTAATTGATAAATGAGATAGAAGAAGACAACTACATTTAGTGTGCTAGTCCCTTCTAGAACAGGAGATTAATGTCAGGAAGATCAACTTCTAGGGGAACTCCACAGAAGGGCACTATCTAACCCAAATTTAACCATTAACCAATTTGGAACTTTTACCTTCATTCAAACCTCTTCAACAGATGGTCAGCGAACAATTCTTCGTACCAAGGTCTTAACGCTAATACATCCATGACAGCATTTCGACAGCAGAAACGTCAATAGTCAATAAAAAAGTGACATTTAAAATTTGTCAGTGATCTTCGTCGTGTCGCTGCTGTTTTTTTCATTACATTATTGAGCACAAAGAAGAAAAAATGTTTCAGTTGTAATTTGCATACGATTTGTTTCGAAGGATGTAATTATAAAGGCAGCAGCTATGTTTATCTCGAAATTTCTCATGCAATAACTGGGATTTTTTTAACTTACACTTCACCATTTCTTTTTACTAAAAAAAAATTGTAAATTGCAATTTTCGGTCTATTTCAATTTTTCCACTAATAATTTGCTGCCGAATATTGTTATCGTTGAAAATGATTTTGTTCGGGAGTTGTTAAGCTTTAATTTGCAATATGCCGAAAACAATGCGCCGGGAAATATTTTCTACTTAATATGAGAATTGTGATCCAGCACAGGAGTTACAACCACTGGACAGTAAATTCGATAAATGTGCAAATTGCCTTTTTTCAATTAAAAAAAAAAAGAGCAGTATTGGGTAGAAAGAGATTGTTGCAAATATTCAGCATGAAACAAATTTCGAAAAGAAGAACCTTAAAAAAAAATTGCAAAAAAGTGGCGTGCAAAAACAGAGTCAATGAGAAATAGCAATAGGATCAAAGTAAAGCAATGTATTAAAAAAAGAAAAAAAAAAGAAAAATGCCGATTTGCTCGGAATTTGTCAACTAATAAACGATATTTCGTTAATTGGGGCCATTTCAATATTTCTTTTGATGGGGCCGTTTATACCTTTCTGGATGAAAAGATCCGATCAAATTCTTCGGTGCAATTAGCTTTATCCTCATTAACCTTATGGGATTATTGACCCTATTTCAGTTTTTCTGTCAGTTGATTGATTAATCCATGAAAATTACAACAGAGGAGAAGAGATTCAAATTCGATTTAGTTTGTAATTTGCCAGAAAAATCGACTTATGGATTATTTAAAATCAAAGAACAAAGAGACTTTTCATTCACCTATGTTGCAAAGTAAAATTTCATTTTTAAATGAAAAGAATTAAATTAAAAAGCGACCAATAAAATTTTTTCAGTCTTGAAACAGAAGTGATCAGTGAAAAATAAAAGTTGAGTAATTGAAATGTTTCGAACAGAATTATCAAATTAAAAATGTACTGATAACAGTAAATCTTATTAAAACTTTGAGCAATGACACCAGCAGGCAGATGTGAAAGGAGCTTGATTGATATGATCTATTTGACTTGAACAATTCGCAGTAAAATTCGATTTGCTTGAAGGTTATTACAATATGCTTAAGAATGTTCCCTCTAATCGTATTTTTTCGTTACTCCCTGCGCTTATTTGTTTTCCTCTATATTTTATTCATCTTCATGGGGACTTTTATTTACAAGCAAAGAACAAATATTCAAATTTAGGAGTTGCACTGAACAAAATGCATTTCATAAAATTTGTTGTTCCGAAAGTTTTTTGTTAAGATATTAAGTAATTTAAGGTAACTTTATCAAATTTGTGGCTGTTTTTGACTGAATTTAGAAGGTCAGGAAGAAAAAACATTTGAAGGTGCAACCGAACGGAATCATATCAACTTTTCTATATCCGACTACAGCCTATCTGATTTTACCATAAAGTAAAACCAATCGCAGTCCGTTTGTTGATTCCACCGGCGTAGATCGTTATACTTTGTTGTTGAAGTAGCTGCACATTAACATTGCATAATAATGATCAATTAAGTTAATTAGTTACATTAATGTGGAAAAGAAATTAAAGGATGATAAAGTGTCAGGGACATCACCTTGTCACATTCATTACAACGGTAATAACACAAAAACTTCTCGTCCCAAATAAATGATAAAAGGAAAATATTTTGCTGTGAATTATTTACCTGAAGATGATAACTGAAAAATCTTGCATTGAAAAAATAATCACTCCAATTGCTACATTATTTTTTAGATGAAGGAGAGGATTATACGCTAATATGATGTTAATGAATGTCGCAAGACATAAGATCGAAGGAGAGAGAAAGGTTGCCAGCTGGATCGATCGCGAAAAGATTAATGAGATGAGAGCTGAACAGACTAACGAAGCAATAATTTCTTGTTTTTTTTTTTCGTTTTTGTTTTTGCTTCTGTTTTCCTTTTCCTTTTTTAAAGCAAGGAAGGGGGTGAAGAGGACGTAAGTGTGAACACTGTCTTCAGAATTTTAAAGACCGAATCCTGAAATAAAATTTAGCAAAATTCTAATTTTAGCGGAATAGGCAATGTAATGTTGTGATAACGGTGGAAAAGGAAAATGAAGGCGGGTTTTAGCAAGTGTAAAAAGAATTCAGGAACAAAAAAAGAATTGGACGATGAATGGTACAGAAGGTCATAGGGCAGGAAATAAATTGCTGGGTTTTAATGAAAGGCAATGGGAATGACACAGGCGGTGGACAATAGCATAATGGAACTGAACGGTGGAGGTAGGAAGGTTTACACCGCTACTACAGCCCCACACATTACAGACAGGTAGGCATGAGGAGAAAAAGGGAGGGTAACTTCAAACCCTACCACCCCGATTGCTATTAGGAAGTGCCAGCAATGAATTCCGAGTGACGACACACATTGTGACCATCGAAATGAAGTGAAATAAAAAAGGCGGTCGATGATGTCAACTGTGCTCAAAGATCGAGGAATGTCGTCTTTGGATATTGAACTGTTGTCCACACCTAATGACAATAAACCTTGAATACGAACCTTTTAGAATCCTGAAATATAATATACATCAAGTTTTTAGACATCGACCATCTTATGTAGTTCAAAATATCATCGAGCATTAAATAGATAAAATTACCTTTACTAGTTCGGACTAGACAGTATGTTAAGTAACTCCTAGAATTTCATCCAGATGACTAAAATCTTCCCAATATTCATAGTTTATTACATAATTGTAATCCGTCTAAAACGATGATACGTTTGAGCTAAAGTCATAGGAAGGATTTATGTTATTTTTACTTATTTCAACAGTTCAAGAAACGCTGGTATATCATTTCCTTCAGCATTTGTCAACGGACAGGTCAAAACTTCTTTGTGTGCCAAAGAAAAGCTTACAAGCTGAAACAAATTTAGACCTATTTCCTCTACAATATACTGAGTGGATAGAGTAGAAGTTATAAATAATGTTTGAGAAGCAGTAATGAGTTGCATACTGCAACAGTGTTCCTCTCACTCATTTACTTATTAAACTAAAAGTTTGATTCGCTGATAATATTTCTCAGTTGTTGGTTCAGAAATTATCACCGAAATAATTGCTCACTTTTTCTGGAAAATAGGGCTTGAAAGCAAGAATCATCAGAATTTTCGCATCCATTTTACAACCCTATCCATTTCTAAAATCTCTAACAAGGCTAAATTCAATCAATGCATGACACAATAGCTTCTCCACTTCCTTGAAGCTTGTTGAATTAAACAAACATAACGCCACCTTCAAACTTTCTGCCTCAGTTCCCCTTAGCAGACAATGCACATTGTTTTAGCCCTTGCTAATTAGACATTCTATAATAATGCATCTATCAAAGATTGTAAAAAATCGGTGCTCAGAGAGCCAGAAAAAAAAAATGAAAATGAAAGATATACTATGAAAGTGTTATGAATCCCTTTGAAATTTCAGAATGTCCTGGCAATCTGTTTATGATGTGTAGCGTATCGTTTGTTTATTTTAGTGAACCTAACAAGAATATTTATTGCGAGCAATGCTTATTAAACTTTGACATGAACTTCGATTTTTTACTTCTCACAGCAATGTATTCCAAATTTTTTGGGTACTGAAGAGTACAGCTTCAGTTCTGTGTCGCAATTTCATATTGTCAACCACTGCATCAGCAGCTGTGAGCCGGTGCTTAATATTGGTTAGTTAAAGTGTTAAAATGAATAAATGAATTGAAAGTAGCAAGTTGTTTGGCAATTTTTCAGCAGCATGAATTTTGATAAACTCACTGATTTCATTAGAATTCATATCCATCACTACAATTTATTTTGTTGATAATTTTTCATTATTTTTACGATTAACATCTGAAAGAAGCATTCTGATTCAGGCTGTTAACATCTCATTCTAAAAACTTTCGCACTTATTTCTCCAATCATCACCAACTTCTTAATTTCTGCAATCAAAGTTGCCATCATTACAGTCCATACAAATTGTCTTGACAACCATTAGTAGATCAGTCACTGACACAGTCAATCAAAAACAATGTAACTGAAAAGGATACTGACAGAATGGGGTTAGAAAAATACAGAAATTAGAAGGATTGAAAATTTTGCAACAATGCGAAATTCTTACTCCTGCTTCCCAAATCGTCATTTTTTTAACAGAAGTATTTGTGATAAACTCCTCATCTCAAGATATAAATGTTATTACCACAATTGCAGGAGCGCAGTTGTGTATAATTAGACACCGTGTTAAGGCAAGAGTTCAGAAGGACGAAGAAAGAGAGAAATTACAACAACTATGAAGTTTTTCTTTTGTCTTCCAGAATTCGAACAGTGTTATTTACTTAGAATGTTTCACAGTACTGTTTTAAGGTCCTATTTGAAGTGCACTTTTCGAAAACATCTCCTCAGTCATCAACAAAACACCTCCTTTATGCTTTTCTTGGCATAACATATCGCCCTTATGAATCATTTTATGTCCAAATTGAAATGATAACTTTCTGAACTATCAACTTTCTAAAATGAATAATTTTATGCCCAACTCCTTCCTTTCTATACACACTTTCTCAATGTTTTATTATACATTCAAAAATCTATTTGTCAGCTGATATTGTGACGAGATCTAAGTTTCTTCTCCTTGTATTCCAATAATTGCTTCATTATAAAAGTTTCATTGAAATTACATTGAAAAGTACTGAAAAAATTCTTTGTAATATTGGTTCGAAATTGTCCCATCCTTATCTTTTCACTACGACAGTATGGATCTCACTTGGATATGAAGTAACATATTTCATAGGAGCGGATATTTTTAATACTGTACCCTTATTGGATTCAACTTGTCAAATTGTAATATTTTGAATGAAAGTCATAAACTTAGGATATAAATCGAAAATATTTATATATTTTTGAAGAGCTCTCACTGAATTTAAAATTGCTTAGATGTCATTCTATCCCATTCAACCACTAAAAGTCTTTCAAAAAATTTCAATCGTCCGAATGATATTAGGGTGCCAGAACTAGCAGTTGTAGTCAGTCATAGTTTATACCGTACGACACTATTCGCAAACAAGGTTACGTTCTGATAAAACTCAACAGAAGCGGACTGGTTAACTGCACAACCATTAATATTAAAGTAAAAAGAAAAACTATTTTTTAATTCGGGATGAATTGATAGCGGATCACAACCCCAAATATCGAGTTTTCAATGACATGGGCAACTGGCAAAGATGAAGAACTACTGCGCACAGAGATCAGAGCAGACAATAGAATAACAGACCTACAGTAGTAAGACCTGAGAAAGAAAATGTAAAATGGTGTTGATCCCTACTACTCACTTAAACACTGTAGTATTAGATAGCAATATGATGATTAGATTTCGATAATTTCAAGATAAAATTGGTTTTTTCTAAGTTTAAGGAATTTGATATCGCACTTTGGCGCGTACATGAACATGTGATATATTAAAGTTTGAAAACCAAATTAATTTTCTAAAAAATTAAAACGTTGTAACAACAGCAATATTTGATATCTGAACATTTTATTTATGAATGGAATTGATTAGTTTTTCCAATTTTATTAAAGAAAAAAAATTACGAGAGTTATTTACAAATTCAAATTGATGGTGCATTTCTAAATAAGATATTTGGTGCAACATAATTTCATTAAGAAATAAAATAAATTTTTGAAATAACTCAAAGTCAATTGATGTCGCAATTTCCGACTCTTTTACTGCGTTCGAATGGTAATAAATGCCTCTTTTTTGCAAAAATATTTCAAAAATCTCAATCGACCAAAGTTCAGCAAGCCATTTATACTTCTAGTCGCAAGCCCAGTGCGCATATGCTTCTCCTTCTTTTACAAGTATTTTTGCAAGCTGTCAAACATTACAACAAAGAAGATGTCTGCGACTTAGCTCTGAACATTGCGCTCAAAAAAGCATTTCTTCTGAAAGTTAATTTAAAGATTTTTTAAACTGAAATCTACAAATATTTGCAAAAATATTGTGGCAAAATAGTTTAAACTATCAAGAAACTTTGACTCGAGATGGAATTTGAAAAGAGAAGTAAATATGTGAATAGGCGCAGATGAAAACAAGAAACCAGTTTTCTAACAAATTACATGAAGTTTTTTTATTATATAGTTGATGAGTATGTGAAAAAAAGTTCTATAATATCCTGTAATAAACTTCTGTAAAAATTTCACGCGATTTATAAAAAAAAAAGTCCTGTAAAAAAATTATGTAATAAAAATTCATTTAATTATATAGCTGATGCCGTAAATGATTTTATTCCCCAAAATAATTTTATGGCCAGCCATGGCTAATCGATTTATATGAAGAGAGCTTGATTGCTTAAGATATACTAACTTCCGTATTTTCATTATGTCTGCCGCATTTTGATTGGTTATCTTTCAAATTCGGTCAGGGTATTTCTATTACGGTATAGAAGTGAAATGAAAATTCAGTAACATCGAAATCTGCCTTCAAATGAGGCAAAAAAGTGCTTTTGTTGATTCAAACTATTGACGTTCTAATCAAAAACTGAATTTCGAAAGTAAAACATTTTAATATTGCTTTTGATTGAGAAAGATCTATTAGACAAATTTTGACAAGTGTATTTTTAAATTTTCCATTACCAAAAATATTCTCGACTGCTGGTGTGCGCTTGACAAATGAGAAACAAGTTCAGACATGCACTGGTTTAAAATTTTTTTCTTCAACTTTCATATAACCATGTTTTAGAAATGAATTTGTTGAATTATTAATGAAAGACCAACTGACAAGGATGCCAAAATGAAACAATTTGCCAGCTGACAATAATTGAAAAGCTATTGATCAAGGTTCTTCCAGAATATTTTCTTTTAATTATTCGAAGCTTTATGAAAGAATGAAGATGAAGAGGAAAAGAGATTTATAGCGGAATAAAGTTGGAAACCACAGAATACGACAGCAAAAGAATGTAATGTTAGAATGAATAATTGTTTCAATTTCGTTGTGCCTTGGAAAGATTTCGGTTCTGATTCAACTTCCGTGCTTGGAGAGAGAGAGAGCTGTAGTCATTAAAATCGCTAATTATTACTTCAAGAATACTATCGCTGATCACCATTAGATAAGACTATAACTTGCCAACTGCTAGTTCGATTTTTGTGAGCCCGTATAAATATGAAAAAGAGAAAAAAACCATTGTGAAACAAATGAGTCAATTGAATTAATTTAAATTAGGATAGAAGTGCCTCACGATTATTTTTGTTATTGCAGGGAGACGTAATATTGTAGATGGAAATAGTAAAAATAAATCTTTAAAATTCCTCACAAGTTCTAATATAACTACAAAATCATCCATTCCCAATTTTAGAAATAATATCAGATACTTATCTAAGGGCCTCATCATCGCTGGTTGCAAAGATAGGATAAAATTTGTAAAAATAAAAATAATTTGATTGACTGGAAAAGGAAACTGTGTTCAAAATCAAACAAGAAGATTTTGCATGGAAACACTGTTGTTCCAGATAAAAAAGGAGCTAAATTTCAAGCATAAAAACAAGAAGTAACACCGGAATGATGTAAATGGTTGTGCATACTATTGCAAACTATGAATTCAAACTTTTAGATCTTTCATTACACATTCGTTATCTTTTAGGCGATCTGTGCTATTTATTTCTGTTGTGTGGAAGAGACATTTACTGTTTCCGTCTCCCCTACCTCCGTTGTACCTCGCACGCTTTTCAGTCATCTCCTAAAATTGACACTTTATTTATCTAAAACAAAGAACAGTGAAATATGGAACCGATGCCGGAATTTTCCTATAATGTTCTTTCCTCCAGGGATTTACTATTTTGGACTTTTAAAAAGTTATTTTTTATTTTTTTTTTTCAAAGCTCTATATGTTTGGAGATTTTTTAGTGCACAATATCCATCGTTCTACACGACATTTCTCATGCAAGCGATCTCTTGCCATTATTTATCTGGATTTCAAATTATAAGTTGGAAAAAAAAAACTTTCCATGAAGTAAAACAACGACTAGTTGGAAAATGGTAGGAAAAAATTATAAAACGATTCTTTTACATGAAGCTATTTGAAAATAATAAAGAAATTATGACCGATAATTCCTTGTTGAAGACTAATTTAAACTTCGCATAATTAAACATGATTTCGTGAAGTGCTGCAACTTTTAATTGAAAAGAAATGGACAAGGAGTAATGAAATGTGATAATGTTGTCATGGTAGCATATAATGCATATATGCATGTATACATGGGACTGTTGCAGCATTTGCGATGAGATGTGAAGAAGTGATGATTATTCCGTTAAGAACGGTAAGAACGGTAATAATTATTTTCACGTTTCCTATCTCGCATTTTCCATCACAATTTTCAAAAAAAAAGTGCAAAAATGTGCGCTGTTTGTTGATAAAACGGTTCTGATGTATATATAAATCACAAATAAAAGCTCGGAATACCCTTCTTAAGCTAATAAACCAAGCCATCTTTAAGCAAATTTTTCTACTTTCATTTAGTAATGCTTCAAATTGTTAGCGTTAATTCCAGTTGGTATTCGTTTAAAATTTCATATCTATGGGTTAATTACTACTGAGATGATTTGATAGCTAAACATTGTAAACCTCTTTTGAATGACCATGTTGGTCATGAATATTCTGTACTGTATGATCTGATTATTTCCCCGGTTCTTGAATTAAATGGGAAAATTTCGATTTTTTTAATTTAGCTCTTCATCTTTGAAATGTAAAAATATCCTTTGGAAATATTCGGCCAAAGAAGAGTGAGGGATGTGGACAACAGACCGAAATCATGCTCTTGAAAAATAGATCCAGTTATAAAAGAAACACAGAAAAAAGAGTTTCACAAGGGATAATTAGAAAAATAACACTTTTTTCTACTAAATGAAATAATTTCCAAAGACACTTTATTTCGATGATTTAACTGAAATTGTTTAAAAATCGTCATATTTAAATTAGTTATGATCTTCTTTTACACTTCTTTGATTATTTGTAACAATTTTGCTAAACGGATGGATGCAGTTATTACTGCAAGAATGACAATTTTCATCCCTGCAAAACTTTCCGGATAAGCAATTTCTCCGAAGCATATAAACTGGAGTGATGATGGGGAAACCAATTTGAAGCTTGGCTCACTTTCGAGCAATGTTTTTATCGTGACTAAAACAATGAAACATCAAAACATCCTTATAATTAATTCTATTTACAAATATGATACCCGCCTTACAAAATTTACACACTGCGGGAGAAAGGAACTGTAACACTCACCATTGCAACAATAAATCATATCCGCAGAATTTTCAATAAAACCGAATTCAGATCTCACTAAAGCTCTTTTCTTTTGATGTATGTGAACATTATAAAAACTGACATTTGTATTGCGAAATTCTTTCCGCTATTGTTCTCCACTTTATCGAAGTACTCCAAATGATCTGCCATATCTATTCTCTCAATCTAAAATTTCATTGTTTCAGTGTACTTAAAAAAATGTCAGTGACTCATTTACACATTAACAGTAATTAAGGACAAAAGAATTCATAAAATGAAGAAGTTAAGGTAGTATCTCAACCCCTATAAAAATCGAATTCGAGAAAGTAATACAAGTTTAATCACTATTTTTTCCAAGCTGGCAATAACAATTAACCTTTCATTTAATTTGATTAAAAAAAAAGAAAAAAAAGAACTCAGGAAACCAAGGAACAATTAAAATCTCCACAAAAATGTAGTGATCATCCCTAAAAAAAATTGTTTATTTTGGGGATTGAAAAAAATAAGAACAAAAAACTAGTGGAAATCATAAAATAAGTTGACGATTTGATGATGAGAAGACGACAAATTGAACCATATTTTGAAAAATTAAGGACTTTCATCTCAGCTCTTTCTTTTTCAAATCCTGACAAATTACTCGCCTTGTGCACTTTCCACATATTACTTTTGTTCTTTTTCACTCATTTTAATATTTATTAGTGCAAGGGTCAAGTACGAAAGACCGAAGATTTAAAATGTGCCGACAAGTAGTTTTGTCAGCATTTGAAAGATGACAAGCTTGCATTGGTCGTCCCAAATTTATTGTTAGCATAAAATTGCGCTGAAAGTAAGTTATATGGAATTCGCAAACAAATAGTGAGTAACGAACTCTCGACATTTTCATATTTGCCAAAACTTCCGCGAAATGAACTGAACAATTTTTGCCAAATAAAGTTTAAAAATAGCTTTGTTTCGTTGCTTATTACAATAACACGCACTTGCACAAGTGTCTATTTTTTATTTCTGTTTGTTTTTTCTATCAGAAATAATGATTCCAAAAGAAAGGGATTTATGGTTGACTTTTTCAGTTGAAGGGTTGAAACCGGATGAGAGTAACTTGAGAGAATAACAACATCTGGAAAGTGATAACTCTGTGTTCTAGAGAACCGATTGCAACAGTAATTTGCAACTGCTGTTGATTTGAGAAAAAAAAGATAAGCAAACGAACAATAAAATGACCAAAGAGGGGACAAGGTTTAGTCGTCAAAAGTTTCTGATATACTTGCTTAATTGGATTCTGCTTTTTTATATTGGGTATGGAATATTCCACTGAATGTACATTCTGACTTTTCATGTTCAACTAGAATTTCCAAATGCAATAAGCTCCTTATTAATAGCGTAATGTTCATCAAACAACGACTGTCTGTTTTCAGAAAAAGCCTAAGGCTTATCGGTTATTCACCTTAATTTACAACTGAGTTATACTACTAATAATCTTAAATAAGAAAAACTTATAGTAACTAAATGAAATTAAAAGAAAACACAGCAGTATGCTAAAATTATTTATCGTATTAATGTGATATATATGTGGAAATATCGTATTTCCTAGGAAATAGTCAACGATGACAAACAGAACAATTTTTTTTTGTTTAAATTTGGCAAATAGAAGACAAATTTCAAACTAATTGAAATGAGGAAATGCTTCTGATTAAAAATAATTCTACAATTGGTCAACGGTGATACCTACCACGGCAATAATTTCGACAATTACACTGCGTGCAAATAAGAATTTTGCAACGGTCGCAAATAAACGAAACACATTTCATAAATTATTACTAGGAAAAAAAAAAAACTATCCAAACAAATATGAGATGGCCGTTTTCTGGTTTCAAAACCTTCCTTTACCAAAAAATTTTTGCAGGAAATTTCTTCCTTCTAAATATTTTTCAACAACTTTAATAACAAATTTATTCTTTACACTTCAAAGTGAAAATCAACTCATTCCGTAATTACGGCAGGACCGGAAAGGGTTTGCAACGTTCATTCTCAAATGTACACCAGTAAACAAATACATACTTGCATTACCAAATGAGCACAGAAGAGAATCAAATAAACATATGCACATCAAAGGTTGTCAGACTTGAGAATAGGAATTTGCGAAGTTCGCTGTCGACATGATGGTGTCAGCGGCTGTTTTGGTGTACCGGGTTGAGATCGGCTTTCGATATTACGCGCACTAAATCAAAATTAACATGATCCAGAATGGCTGGTGCGACAAATGACAGAATGACAGATTTGCAGTGTAATTTGGTTTTGGTACAATATTCGCTAATTTTCAATAATTAGAAAAGTAACGAACTTGGTAAAGTTTGCAAATCAGATAACCTTACACTGAAAGCGACGAGCAAAACGAGAGGGTAAACAAGCAAACTCGCGCATATATATATATTGTTATATATATGTATGTATGTATATGGGTGTGGGTCTCAATGGAAAATGTGTTTTTCATGATTGTACGCTCACCTTGCAGGTGAACGCTCATCAACGGAAGCACTGCATGCAAGCATACTTCGAGCGGACGCATTATGTTCGCTTGGAACTCCTGGAGCTGTAACTCCTGTACCGGATGATCCTTTGCGTGCTTTTCCACTGGCAGATCCTAACCCTGTTATCACATGGGTTCCACTTTCATTTAATATCAACGACGGATTTCGCCTACGTGGCACTGGCGATTTCAGATAAGCTAAAACAAGATTAGTAGTCTTTCGCAACCCACTCTACTTCATTATTCGAATTTAAATGAAGTTATAAAATTGAGAGTCTACAGGTATAGCTAGCATTCAAAGTCTATTATTATGAATCGTTGAACGAGTAGACCATTACCAAATATTTTATTCAACAGCAACAGCTGCTGCTTTTTGCTCATTTTCATATACACAACAAAAAAAGGTTAGAAAGAAGGGAAATGACAAGCCTTTTTAATTTACATATTGACAAAAGTGTTAAAAGTTTTAAGAAGTATATCAAAGCGATCAAGATGGCAAGTCTACTGACGTGGGACTGTTTTTGCTATTTACATCTCGAAATAAACAAACTTTCTCAGCAACATTGATAAATTAGCCGCACATGCACTGAATTCTTACCTACCTGAAGTACCTATAAGTAAGCAAATGTAGCGACACAATCGCACATATGTTGTCTGCAAGTGAATTATAGCATTCATGCTGTCACTAGAACAGAATCACGACGAAAAAGTAAAGCATTTATTAGCAACGAATCCCACAAAAATTTGAAACCAAATAAGTACCTGCCAAGACGTTTCTTCGAGATCTTTGATAAGTTAAATCATTGCTGGATGGTTGTGCATGTCGTAAATCATTTGCTGAGAGTAAATTATACGTATCAAGCGTGGAATTTTTCTCAACTCTTTCCTGAATTGATTAGTATTAGAATTCAAGCAATATTAAACGAAACCTGCAAACAAGTTTAATAAGCAACGGAGGAATCGTACCGCGGTCTGACTTCTGACGTGTGGAATCGTTGTAGTTGTATTAGAATCTGAATCGGAACATGCGCTACTAACACTAGAATCAGAAAGCCTCCTGGGACGCACCATTAGTGCTATGCTTCTGTCAGACCTAAAGTATTATAACAAGTCGTAATGAATTAGTCGCCATCCATATTAGTGTACTGATTCTACAAAAAGAAAAAAAAAGAAACTACGGATTAAAACAAAATAATACTGGTGGTCGACATATTTGAGCACTGCTATCATTGTTACCTGATTATATTAAACATAAATCTGAAAAGGCTGAAGAACATGAGCACAGTTACCTTTGTTGGGATGCTTGTAAAATAGCTGTGAGATGATCAACAAGTCTCCTGAACCGTCTGACTGGACCAGCAAGGAGAGCAAACTGCACTACATACATAGGGGTTTCCTCATTTGACGCTGTTCTGTGGGCTGGCTGGACAATATCTACCTAAGAAACAATAATATTAAGGACGGTAAACAGTTTCCCCAAAATATGTATTTTTTGAATCAAATCAACTTACCTGCATTTTCACACCTCTCGAAAAAACACTACCACCAGCAGTTGGTCCACGCTTATACTCAACACGAAATGAATTCTGACCAACAACAGAATGGCTAAGTTCATGGATCTAAAACAAATGTTGGTGTAACACCGAATAGCAAGTATAAAGTCAAAACGCAATTACTTTGATTACCAAATTTGTAATAGATCTGTTTTGGAATTAGACACCTTCCTGTTGTATGACTATGGTAAAAAAAAAAGAAAAAAAAAAAACTCAGCATTCTTGTATGTGTACTGCAGTGCGCCAAAATTCTTTGTGGAGAAGGAATTACTAATGCCTGACATGGAAAAAAATTTTTTTTTGTCAAAATTTCAAAATTTATTGGACTAACCGTTAGAAAAGCGCGTATAAGTTCGGCTTTGATGGCATTCACTGTTTTCCCATGAGCCGGTATTATTTGGACATCATTCCGCTCAACACTTACGCTCGATGCAAGGGATCCAAACCATGATTTCTTTACCAGACTAAATGGACAAATGAAAGTTAAGAGCAGGAAGCAATCATAGCAAAAATTTTATCAAAAGATTAAATTTAGTCAAGATTTGTTAAGTCAAATAAAAAAACTTCAAAAGATAAGTTCAGTTTTTACTATATCTCGTTATTTTATGCTTTTTGTAATATTTTAAAGCAACAATATTTCAAAGCAATACTTTAATATTTTACATGTAACATTTTAAAGTAGTGAAAGCAGTAATAACAACTGTATATCTGGTGGTAAAACTACTTACTCGGAGGATTCCAACATTTGATTTTCTTCAGAGTCACTCTCTCCAGTTCCGCTACTTCCACTGCTCATTTTCCTACGATGAAACCGTGGTGTCCCCAACAGAGAATTTTTAATATTCGATAATCGCCGCCATGGTCTTGACGTACTAATTGTGCTACCTGTAGAGAATGAACGTATTAACAGTGTTCCTGCGGAGAAAAGACATATTAATTGTGCGACTTGTAAAGAATAAAGGATTATTTTATAACAGGATAATGTGTATAATAACAACTGTGCTCGTACTCAAACTGTTTGTGGATGTATTTGCAGAACCCATACTCGAACTTGAACTCATCCTTGTTTCAGGCATCATATTTGAACCAGCATGTGAACGCCGAGGATTCCTTTGGAGATGCTGTAAATAATTCATATTCGTTACAAATACTACTCAATACTACAGAGGTATTTGTTATGAGAACCAAATGCAAAAATCCGCTTCTTACAACAGATTAAATGGATGGAAACACAACTTTTTTTTTTCATGATGCTCATTAGGTTATTGCAAGTAGCAACTTCAGTGAATGTTAAACCTTATCATCGATACTGGTGCGCACTCGTCTTGCCGCAGCAGCTAATGCTTCCGGATCAACTGGTTGGGTATAATAGTGATAGTTGCTAGTTCGCGCCGAAATTCTAAACATCCCATCATTTATAAGAACTTTTCGAACTTAATATTTTCAGGCTTCCGGATTACGATTCGAAAATATTACAAATTTTTTGATTAAAACAAGCCTTCCATGGTCTTCGACTTGTGAAATAGCACTACAGATTTGTCGTGAAGATGGGGGGCCAATACCACCACTGATCGACTCACGTGGTGATGAGCGCGCTGAACCATTTGGCGATCCACCAAGTGAGCAGTGCCTATCTCGGCTGTATCGCCTTAAGTCTTTTTTCTCACATGAAGTGAAAAGGAAGAGGTATGAAGTTTAAAAAATGAAGCAAAGTTTTAAAAACCGAGCAACGTTGACTCACATAAAATGAGGAATTTAACAGACTTATTCTACTACCCGTATGTTTTTCGAGGGTTGATCGGAGATCCTTCACTGATTGAACCAAATGGATATCTAGAAAGTCTAGAAGAATCGGTACGTTTTCGTGGTGGATCATGACTAAGATTAGAGCCACGAAGGATAACCTAAAAATTTACATTACTTTTGCGCTATTTTAAACATCATAATTATTAAATCACTCCTAATTACTCTGAAAAACGTTCTTCTGCAAAAACGATTCCAAGATTGCAAAAAAGAAAAAAAACCTCAGTTTCATCCTCATGAGCTGGTCTACGTCTTTTTCGATCTAACAACAAGAAATAAACCATTTTCTCTGTGTTGTGCCTGCAATAGTCTAATTTACTCATCAGATTTAAACAACTTCATACATGTTAAGGATTCCTAGCCGCACTAAAGACAAATAGTAATAAGGAAAAAGAATGTGCTGCAAAGATAACCTTGGAGACAATAGTTCTCGGATCAATTTTCCTTATCCTTGAAACATCCCAAATTCGTCATATGTCGAAAGACATCTGAATCAATGTTTTCTTCGCTAGGGATTATATAGGTCTGGAAAAAAATAATTTTTGATGGGATTGGTTTCACTTAATGACTTTTCATAAGATTTCACAAGCGCTCATTACTATGAAAAAAATCACCTGTATAACTTGTGCCATCGGTAGTTCAAGTTCAAGTTCGGCTTTCGAGCTATCAGCAACCCATGGATGTTTGAATACTTCACTCAACTGCAGGTTAAATATATGAATTAATACGAATTGATTTTATTGCATTAAATCGAATATGGTTTATTTTAAAGTAGAGAACGAAATCGAATAGTCTTCTTCTGAAATCATTTTGGAGAAATTTTATTGCTCTTAAAAAAGTAAAATGAGGCGAAAAATAATATCTCACAGAAAGCCGTTTTTGTGGATCAACTTCGATCATAGTCCTGAGAAGATTTTGGCAATCAGCTGGAACGAAATGAGGGATATGGAAAACGCCCTTCTTAACTTTTTCTAGCAAGTTACGCAGATTATCATCGTCAAAAGGTAAAGCACCCTATAAAATGTTTGAATCAGAGGTATCACATACACTTAAATGAACATTTATTGAATCATTCCAAATAATATTTACCATACAAATAAGCCAGAAATGACAGTGATTGTTGAGAAAATCAGTAATAAATACTAAAAATGATGACACTGGCTGTTGAACAAATAAACAAACTCACAACTAATAAAGCATATAAAATAACACCGCAGGACCAAACATCAGCTTTCCGACCGTCGTATTTTTCTCCCTAAAAATCATGTATTACTGAATTGTCCGGGTAATTAATTTCCAGATTTCATTGTGCTAGTCTTGATTTTTATTAAATACCAGAAGATTAAATTTCACATAATTTTTATTGATAAGGAATATCTGAAAATATTATAAAATTTTACCAGAGAAGATTTAGATTTCAAAATTTCAATGAAAAAGACATAAAAAAGTTATGCTGCAATATTATATGCTCAATGCTCAAATTCATGAAACTTATTTAAAACCACCGTAAGGTTGTCTTGAAAAATATATTTACATACCCGTATAACTTCCGGACAAGCATAATGTGGTGACCCGCAACTAGTTTCAAGCATTGAACCTTCAACTTGTAAAGATGCCATCCCAAAATCGGCAACCTGAAATGCTTCTATCAGGCCTTCCCACTGTACTAGAAATGGGTTGAACTCCTTCACAATAATATATTTACACTATATTTCAAAGAAGAAAAGAAATACCCAACAGATAAGAGGAATTCAAAACAGCTACATACTCAATATCGCAAAAATTCACAAACTTTGACTCCTTTCAGCATACCAACAATACTCCGAAGAATTAAGAAGAGTTAGACAACTGCTGAAAATTTTCATGCTTTTGAAAACAAACCTTAATATTGTTTCTATCATCCAAAAGCAAATTTTCAGGTTTTAGATCCCGATGGCTGAAAAAATTAAATGTTATTAATATATATTTGTAAAACAAAGCTTCTACAGATATAGAAATCATTTAAATCTTAACGAAACATGCCTACACTGCCTGGTCAGTTACGGATAACTGATACTATCAATTGAGGCATGTTCTTTTACTTCATCACTTTTTAGTTCGTATCCCTTCTTGACAGTTTACACAGAACGAAAATATTAACTTATTTGTATCGGGCATCGGGCACCTTATGCATTCGCTGCACAAAAATCGCCAATTATCATAGACAAGCAAATTGATACTATTAACATTACCTCTCACGCTAAGCAATTTAAGATAAAGATTTATAGTGATTAAATAACACCATTTTATTCCACACGACCGTCCTGCATCACCTGGTCATTAGTGTAGTCAATCAGTCAGTGACACTTACATAAACTTAGAAGAAATAAATCATACGAATACCAAACAAAAACTGTCAAGGAGTTTTAAAGGGTGGAATTCCGGACAACATTTTCTTAATGTCTACGGAAACTATAAATCAACAGGAGCTGATAACTCCTGATAAAATCTGGATCGAAATTTTATTTTCAAACTAATTCTACCTCATTACAATTTATTTTACAAACCATATATTATGAGCGTGACAAAAATCCAGAGCCGAAATAATTTGTCGAAAAAAATTTTCGTGCTTCTTTGGCCATCAAGCGACCTTTCCGGACCAAGTAATCAAATAATTCACCACCACTAACATGTTCTAGTAGCAAATACCTGTAATGACTTTGCTGAAAGTTTTTGAAAAAAAGACTAACTTTTGAATCAAATTGAAGAGAAAAAAACACCATCAATTGCAGATGACAGGATGGAAAGACATAAACTATGAGGAAATTCTTTTATTTAAAAGACGGGCCTTTTCATAAATAATAGAGCTTAAGAAATAAGGAATGATTTTTCATAATTAGTCATGTCTTCCTAAAAAAGTAAAAATGTAACAATTGTTTTTTGCATTGAAAGACTTTGAAAAAACACGAGAGATTTCGAAAAACTAACAGATATTTCTTGTTTTCATAAACGTCATAAAGATGAAGCACATTCGGATGTTCAATTAATTTCATTATTGCAATCTCGCGTTCCACCTATAAATACTTATCACATTTCCTTACTATTCATTGAAATATAGATAAATTTCATTTACATATTAGGGAAAAATTTTCACATGGAAATTTTCCTCATATATCTTATTAATTTCGATATTTTAAATGACAAAGTTTCTGGTGGTGATTTCATCATACCATCGACCACTCCTGAACAAGGTTTACGATACCAGTTATCATCAATAAGCTGCCGGCTGTTAACAGTTTAACTGTACGTCATAAAAAATAGATTAACTCGTGAATCAGGTTGAAATGCTTCATTTATCTTCTTGATGCAAGCATCAGTGTTAGTGGTAAGGGATCCAAGATTTAAATTTGTAATGGTGTACAAAAACTGAGAATCCTCGGATTTGTTTCGGGTACTTTGAATGTACATAAACCAACCTTCTGAAGAACTGACTCACTAAGTTTCTCTTTATTAACAATTTTTACAGCAACTTTTCGACCAGTGATACAATGTGTTCCCGTCTTCACAAGACCTGAAATCTACATTAATCAAAGATTAATAACCTTATTTCTCTTGTAAATTTCTAGCGTGAAATTTAATTCCTCGACAGTGCCACACTGACGCTTGTTTCCGCTCAATGGCCGAGTTGAATTTATTCATATAGTATTGAACTCACATAACCTGTTTTTAAGCGGGATGGAAAGAGTACAAAGTCCACACCCATTTTCACCTAGTCATCCAACATTCTCTTCACTTTCAAATGATGCTGTATGAATGCTGCATATTGGTAGCATTCCCTCTTTAGTTTGATTTTTTGCTGTTTTACTATCATTCCCATGGAATCTGCCATCTCAAATTAACTTTTTTCTCCTTAGTTTTTTTTGAAATAGAGCTAGATTTAAGGTCTGCAGCAATTTACAAATAACATTTTACTGGTAGTTAAAGAAAATTAACTATATTTCATTTTACTGACTCTTCAATTTCATAAGAAAAACTGATTTATAAAAATTTTAGAGTTGTTAAAAATGCCGCTTAGAATCGATTGTTCGCCATCAGTTTTTTTTTTTTTTTATTTGACTATGAAAGACAGTTGTATAAGCAATTCATCAAAGGCTAATGAAGACTAATGAAATGGCACTGCCGTTACTCTCCCATCCTTTCCACTTTCTTGCATTTTCGACATTCTTATCAATACATATCGTTTGATTTTTTTCATTCGTAAGTGAGGTTATTTCATAGTGTATGTCCATTTCCACTTCATTAACCGTTCCTTACTGATAGTAACTTATTACATCTTCTACATTGTGTTTCTCATAGTGTCTTCGTACGAATTCGCGTCAAACGTCACTTCATCTTACTTGGGTACATTGACTTTTAACCTTCAAAAATGTCATCCATATGGACTTAACTAGTTTTGGAGTACGTTGCCAAGCGAAAACACATTTTGAATCTTGTATTTCTTCAATGTAACTTAACTTTTTTCAGTGTATTTCCTCATTAATTATTTAGATTTCAACCCATTTATCCTCCCTCCCTAATCCCAAGTATTTAATTATTACTTTCTTCCCGCTTAATTTTTACATCTCAAATTGAAATTGCCCGGCAGCTTGCGAAACAAAATCCCTCCGAGGATTAGCCCAAGTGGAAATATGTCGATGTTGGATTATGACTTGTGACAGCATATGCATATAGATGACTCATCACTTCGACAATTTGTAGCGCCATATTTGAAATGACTAAAGTGGGGAATTTTTGGTTACACTGCGCATTTCATATCCCAAAGTTTCTCTCCGTAATTTCATTACAATACAGTGTAATGATGACTCAGCAATACGGCTGTAATGAAGCGTTGTAAGTTTTAAAACTTCTGGTTGGTCAGTTGTGCTTTCTCATTTGGGGTAATCAATGATGATTATTTCTTTATTATTGTTTTACAGCACTTAAAACTGTCTTACCCCATCACAGGATAAGATGAAGTCTTGTCTTGGTCGGAAGAAGATAAAATGGAATTGAATGGTTAGCCAAAATTGATTTTAACTGAATAATGACCAGAAAGAAGTTAGTTTTGACTAGTACACTAAAAATATGAGAATGTTTAATCGGTTTTTGGCAAATAAAAATTGATGCTATAAAGTTGGTTAAATTGGTAAAAAATTAATAACATACCAATAAAAATTGGTATATTGTTTGATTGAATAATAAAATTTTGAAATCAGTAAATTCAAGACAAATATTAAGGGCATATTTGTAAATAAATAAAGCTTATATCCCCTATTTTAAGTTAATGAAAGAAATGAAAATTTTACGGTAAGGTTCGGTCAATGAATTAACGATTAGATGTAAAATGACTGATTGGGCCAACGCACGTGGTGACGTGCAGCAAAATGAACGCTATTAACTGGTAAGCAAAATAGTTTTGCGCCGAATGTCATTATTTCGTTCGTGAGGCAAGTGGGACATGAATTACCATATCTTTTGAGCCATAAATTCTCTTTCATTGCCTAATTTTATATGCACACATTTTTATAAATGAAACAATCAGTGAAAAAGACATGAGTTATCAATAAAGGAAAAGGGTCAACGATTCTTCTAAAATGCAGCATGGAGGCGATGTAACCTTCAAGTGCTAATACAAAATGAATACAAATAAGCACAAGACGAGGAAAAATGTTTTTCGATTGATTAGAATGGAATATTACAGGCAAAATTATATACCTTCCAATCGATGAATAATGGTTACTTTTGTTTACTTCCTTGCGGTAGCTAAATCCTAATCCTTTCAATCAACACCTAACAAAATGCAAGCATTTAAAATTGGAGGTAAATGAATACTCCCACGATTTTTTCGGTTCAGGATTGCTTTCACTCAAGAATTAATTTCTTACCATCGACATTATACAGCGGCCTGTTCTACTGGTGTAATTGAAGGCTGGGTTAAGGCGGAGGATGGTCATCTATGACTGCACTTCACTTGAAATGACGCCGTCACTGAGAAGTATGGGATACATTGAAAGTTTGAAGTGTCAATGATCTATATTAGGTGGAGCTATTATAAAGTAGTTTTTAAACAGCTTGTACTTTTGAAACTGAAATACTCTAATTACTATATTTCAAGCTAAAAAATATGTTGAAACGTAATATCTGATGGGAAGAAACCTCCGTAAAGTTTCCACCTACTTGTTCCTGTTCATTTCGTACTTAATCTCTAAAAGTTTAATATTTTAAATCCATTCAAATAACAAAATGATACCCTTTTGTAATTTTGGGAAGTCTTCCCTTACACCTCAAACTTTGGAATAAAACTTACCAAAGAGGTCGCAATTTCTTGCTTTTCATTTCATGATTTCAATTTTCTCAGTTTTATTTTTCCTAATTGTTGCCAGTCACTTGTACATTTCTCTCAACTTGCTAAAACACTTGTAAACTTAGATTTTTCTAGGAAGAAATGGCTTTAAGTTTCATTTAACAACTAACAATTCGCCATTTCATACTGGATCAGAGAACAAAAGATTCTTCACTAATCATTTTTAGCTTCTTAGAATGATTTTACCAATTTCAGGACACAGTAAATAATGCATCTTTCGTTAAATCCGTTTTGTGACTTTACTTTAAATTACTTTAGTACACGAATAAAATTCGGGAATTCCATTTTTTAAGAGATATTACTTATAAGGGGTAATACTTGTATATAATCGAAGACGAAGAACTCTTAAAGTGAAAGACAAGGTCAAATAAAATATTATCTACGTGATTTTAAATTCTAACCTACAATGATTGGGTAACGAATAATTGCGCAATCCTTCCTAAAAAGATTGCACCAATTTGCAATTGCTGACAATTATTTACAGAAATATCCGTTGAAGTCCAACTTGGAAAAAAATCTACTGATGAACTAGCTACGGTATTTATATAACTAGGTAACATTGTATTTATTACCGTTTTGCGCATAATGAATTTCGGAACCTTATGTTCACTAGTTTAAATGTACATGTTTGAAGGATAATTGTGACATGGCACAGCTTCGTATATTTAAATTATGTTGGTATTACATAATTAGCAAGAGAGTGCAAGTATAAAAATCGTAATCAGTAGAGTACGAAAGTACTGTTTCAAGAATCATTATCCTATAACTGAATAGTATTTCTGCATAGTTATTGGTTGAAGGACAAAGCTGAGTTAGCTTAAGTAAATAAAAACGAAAGCGAAAATTGAAAGACATACCCGTTTGACCTTTTCCAAGTGTTTTCTCAATTTTATACGGTCCACAGTACTGCGCTTGGTGAGAGAGCGCTACCACAGTCGTATTTGTTGCACTACCATTACTTGCCGTTGTCATGTCTGTAATTAATCACGGAGGAGTAAACAGTGAGGAATATAAGTTAAATGGGGAACTCAAAAATTTAATGAAAGAAATTTTATGGAAATGGAGAACTTGTTAGGAAGTAAAAAAAAATATCGGGTCAAAAATGTCAGAATTAACAATGTACTCTTTTATTGTTCATATCGCTTACTATAACTGAGTAAAAGTGCAAAAAGATTTCAACAAATTACCTTACAAATATTATAAATTGGTACAGACAGTAATGGAAAAACGATGAGTATGGAAAGACTTGTTCATCTATATTGACCTCCCTTATGCTAACCTGTTTTTACCTGCCGTCCCTCGCACTAATCGCACAAAAGCATAGCATGTTGAATATCTCCATGTTAGAAGTATACTGTTTTCAGTGTTCCAAGAAAATCCCAAAAATCTAAAGTGAGGATGTTATGGAATGAACACTGCTACTAATTGCGAATGAGAAATGCTACATAATTGATTATTCCACAATGGATTGCAAAAGTTTACTGACTATAGGACGATATAAATGATGTCGTAATAAAGATAACAGCCATTCATTCAATCAATCAGGATTTTGAAAAAAAAATTAAAATCTGAGTGCAATAAAACATTAAAAATATTGTTTTAAGCCAAATCTATCGAATGATCCGATTTACTTGCAAAAAGAAATTTCATTTCGTTTCCTCATTAAAAGACTTCAACTAAATGATTAAAATCCTCCGTATAACTCTGTAATCTCAAGGTTCTTCAAAAGAACAGACTACACTGCTAAAGGTTTACTTCAGCTAACATAGCATTTTATACAGTGCGATCATTTTTTGTGATATATCTCTTAATAAGGATTCACCTATGTCCTATTCAAAATTTAACGATTTCCCTCCCCATACTTCAACATCTTGGAGGCTTTGTTAGTTCGCCAAATCTTTTTCCAGCGGAATTTCACAGATTTCAGATTTTAAGTAAAATTAATACGGTCATAATTTCAAAAAATCTTTCCGATAATTGGCACTATTATCTTTCAAGGTTTTTCATGATCCAGGAAATCCTTTCAATTCTTATGAGATTTTTTAATGATCTCAAAGGGTCAACCCACTTTTTCTTGTAAAATTTATGGAATTCACCTCT